ATATATATATATATATATATATATATATATATATATATACACAGTTTAATTCAATCATGTTAATAATCTGTATTCTTTTTAAATTACCTGAACCTTCCAAATAAATTCTCACCCTGTACTGAAACCTGGGTCTTACCACCAGCATTAACGCCACCTGCTGGTAAGACGCGTGAGGTCAATTTGAACCCCACACACTAGAATCTGTACAGAAAGTATAATGGAAACACAACGTGTACTGCACGTATCGAGCTGAGTCGAACCGTGCTGTGCTGGTACTAAAGGTACTAATGGAAAAGGGGTACAGAAAGTCCAGCTTGTTTTCAAGAGAGTAGGCGTTGGCCAGGAACAGAGATGGAATTGGCTGTCTGTTAGCATTAGCCTTCAAACTCGCTATACTTCAGCCCGTCTACCAATCTTCTGACCCCACACTCATCGCTTCCTTTTCCCCTTGGTGCGCTGCTGCCTCCATGCTGATGTTTGTAGGAGCTGCAATCTGCTGAGTGTAGCTCTCAGATTGTGGTCCATTGCTGCTATTTTCCAAGCCAAACCTTCTCTTATGCTAAGTTTGGTTCAGCAAGAATTTGCACGCTTAAATCGACCAGAGTCAGGCTCAGAGCCAATTTCAGAACAAAACAAATCTGGATTTTCACTGGGAGCCTGGTGTGCTGCTCCTCAGCTGTGTGCAGGCATCTTGGCAAAAAGTAAATCTAAAATCAAGATTAGGGGTTTCAAGACAACTGGTAATTAGTGTTTTCTTTTTAATTCAGTTTGATTCAATTCAGTTCAGTTTATTTATGTAGTGCCAACTGACAGCAGATGTTATATCAGGGCACTTAACAAATACAAAGTACAGGTACATCCAAGTACATAGAAATTCAATTAGTAACATTATTTACAGTATCTAAGGTACGGTAGGGTAACCAGCAAATTGAATTGAGTCTTCATTTCATTCCAGTCGTCCATCCTGAGCAAGCACAAGATAATATTTCTAGATGAGATAATTACTTCCTTGGGATAAAGTATTTCAGAAAATAATAAAAAAGCCAGAAACCACATATCAAGGTCAAGGTTAAGGTTTCTTTATAGTTATTTGCGGAGCATTTGGTACATGTGGTGGAACAAAATTGTGTACACAGGGTCCCAGTTACATCCAACACACATATGACACACTAACAGATGAAAAATACCAACAGCAAATACATTTAAATGTAATGTTTTTTTTTTTATTGTTTTTTTTTACAAACAACCTCTTTGGTGTCCACAGAGATTAATCCTCATTGTTCTATTATGATGTCTTGTGTTGGTGAAAATTGCATAAATATCAGAGTACATCTTTCATTTGCTGTGATGTTCATGTGATGCTCCTTGGCGGTTTGACTTTTTGCTCAACATGACATCTACAAAACTGACAAAGCAGGGTTGGGCTCTCATACAACTGGTGTTGGTGGCATCGTTCATTATTGCTGAAGAGCCAGAATGCAGACAGAGAGGAGATCCTGAGAACCCTCACTTAGTCAAGGATGGTGACATTATGTTGGGTGGAGTCTTCTCTTTTCACAACAACTGGAAAGAAAAACAGGAAACATACTTACACAAACCTCTGCCACTGCAATGTACCAGGTAAATTATTAATAATGAAATAAGTTAAAATGTTTTTAAGATAACTTGAACGTTGGCACATTTCCAGTAAATAGTGTTGTTCAAACATGTAACATGTAAACAAAGTGTTTGTTTTGAGCATCAATAATAATAACTGCTTTCATTCCCATATTTTATTGTGCATATAT